GCGGAAGAACTGAACGCGGGTTCTGATGAGAACAGTGTAAGCGTTCAAGCAAACCACTTCTGAAGATGCAAGCCACTCGTGCTTGCGAAACATCAGGAAGAAATTCTAACAAACGACAATAATTTCTGGTTCTGATGAGTTAAGAATTTCTAAAATAAATCATACCATAAAGTAAACTTTGTTGGAGCTCGCATCATTTGGGCATTAGCGTGCGCTATCAAGGACGTGAGTATATAGAAGATTGAGTCTGTGTGCTGAATTTCTTCCCTTCCTGATGGTACACTTGGCTTGGTTGATGGAAGTCTCTGCATCCATGTAGGCTCCATTCGAACAATCATAGCACTGACTGCGCCTTTTTTCAAGAGCACTTCGCCTGTGAAATTACCAATACTTCCAATTTGTAGGACTAAAGTGGGAAATCTTTGCTAACAAGTTTTTTTAGGCCCATCCATTAGCAGATGAATAATTTTTAGAATCTTGTGGTACACATCGTCTTCGACGATTTCCAGTAAGTCTGCCAGCACATCTGAGAGTCTGCTTGCATGGATTTTCTCCTTGCGAACAGCCAGTGATAGGTAGTGTCTTTGGGAGTATTCTCGAGTCAGCAATGTATAGATGGAGTTGACAATTTTCAGCTGATAAGCTTTCTCGGTTAGCCAAACGACCATGTAGCCTTCAACGAACAGGTTTAACTTTCCTTGGTCAAGATAAACGTTCGTTGAAACGAACCTAACCAGGAAAAGTATTCCAGCATATCCATATCATATTCCAACAATTCCAAAGATCTGGTTAGCACTGGCGGAATGGAACATAGATCTAATAGCTGATCCAGTGATTCGTCGAAGGATTTCTCCTTACTACGCCTTAGGCGGACTAAGTCCAGAAGACTCATCACATTGAATAGGTCTCGCACAAGCTGTTCATAGGCGAAATCGGAAATTAATTACCATCAACAGTTATTTAAAACATGCCTTAAAGGAAAGGATACAAAGCCTTCTCGGGAAACGTATAAATATTCCTTGATTGTTTGCTGATGTCGGCGAACATCGTCTTTGGTAAGCTGATGTTCCATCAGTGCTAAGGCTTTTTCTAGAAGTCGGGAAGGGTTTTTCCGTTCGAGTAAATGGGAACAGGCGGGACTATCCATATTTATGGATTAAAAGCACTCGAAGCTGACGGAAAAATGTCAAATAAAATGTTTTCGTTTCGAATTGTTGAATTCAATAACCATGCAAACGCATTGTAAATTGCCAGATATGTGATTGTTGAGCATAAAGCTTGTGTCCCATGCATCCGTTTATACGAAAGTGTTTCTATTGGTTGGAGATCTGTCAGTTCGTACGACGGCACACGAATTGACAGATTTCCAACCAATAGAAACACTTTCGCATAAACGGATGCATGCGACACAAGCTTAAGACCTAATATAATATAATAATACCAGACCTAAATGGCATCAAACTCTAGATTTTAATCTGTTAAATTTTCAAATTTTTGGGAAGGGTAATATAGTTGCTAAGTAATACATCATCGAATTCCTATTGATTCCTACCCCATTTCAAACAAATCAGTGACAAAAACAACAAAGTTATAAACAAAACAATTATTTGTTTAATTTTCATACTATACACGTTCATAGTTGCAGTATAAAATGGTGTTGTGTAGAGTGCTACCTAAGTCAACAAGAGCATTTATTGATATCTAATAAGAATATTAGACAATATATTGCACAAAAAGAAATTATTAAAAATTCTCTGGTTCAATCACAAACGCCCAAGTTGATGCTGCGCACAATAGTTTTTATTTCAAACTCCGACTTCTCCACCTAAACACGCCCTGTTTAACACCCGGACAATTAAATACTTTTGGGCTGCAACACAACTTTAACAATAGCTTTTTACGTAACAATAATTGTACTTGAGAACACGAGAATTGAAACTGAAAGGTATGCTATCACATACCATACAGGCTTGGTTAGGAACATACATTTTCCCGATAGAAATTGATATAAATAAAATAACATTTTCATTTTATCTACATATTGTACACGCTCCTCCTAACTCGGCTTGCTAAACTTAAATTTGTTCCTATGCGAGTACTTGAATCTTTTCAGCTCGTTTCTAAAATAAAGATAATCATATTTTTGTAACGTTCACCTTTTTATTGGAGCAGTGTTAAAAATTGTCAAGAGTCTTACCTGAAATATTCGACAGTCTTATGTAAGCCGGTGTTCAAATCTACTTTAGGCTCCCAACTAAGGTATTGTTTAGCTCTGCTAATGTCCGGTCGTCTTCTTTGTGGGTCATCCTCTACTTCACTTACGTGCACCACTTTGCTGTGGCCGCCCACCAAGTTTTTAATTATGGACGCAAACTCTATAACATAACATTCTGATATATTCAACAGTAATTTTCTTGATACCCTTATTAATTAATAAATAGATTAACATATAGATAATTAAGTGAATATATTAACTTACCATTAATGGTATGCTCCACCGGATTGCCTAAATTGACCGGTTGTGAATAATTCGAACTCATTAACGCGACCATGCCTTCCACCAAGTCGGAAACATATTGAAACGATCTAGTTTGAACACCAGAACCATATACCTACAAAGCAAAGAAAAACAGCTGAAAACTCGCGGAAGAAAATACCCCATAATTTCTGCATAGAAGCGATTTTTTTAGTTTTAGAAATTTGAAAGTAAACTTCATTTAGTCATGAGCTCAGGATCGTGAGAATCGGACCAAAAGCAGACAAGTTATCGCTGCAAGACCAAAAAGTTGTTTTTTTTACCACCTTGTCTAGTGTGTAAAAAATCTAATATTTTTACTAAAAACAACATTTGTCGATCTTCGTACTGATATGATTGAACTCGTTCCTACTTGTTCGACAACTGTGATAAAAATAAGAAGCCAACAGGCTGTTTTTTGTCTATAAAGTAAACCTCAATATGCAGGTTTACTGCACCGCATGTTATTGCTAAATGATTGCGAAATGTCTATTTCCGTGCCCACATCAAGTAAAATTAGAACAAAAATGCTCTACTTACAGTTATCACATCATTTTGCAATGCTTGCAGTATAAAATTAGATACCACACGTCCATCATTCATGTGCATTCTTGGTCCATAAGTATTGAAAATTCTAGCTACTCTAACTTCCATATTTTCCTGCTTGGCGTAGGCATAGGTAAGAGTTTCCGATACTCTCTTGCCTTCATCATAACAGGCTCTTGGTCCTATTAACAGATTTAAGCTTAAGAAGATTAAATAAATTATGAATAGACTGCATTTACCGATGGGATTGACATTACCCCAATACGTTTCAGGTTGAGGATGGATGTTAGGATCCCCGTACACCTCAGACGTGCTTGCAATCAAAATTTTTGCTTTCAACCTCCTCGCTAAACCTGAAAAGGTCAGGGTCTCAACAGCAATTAACGAAACAAATGATTACAAATGTACCTAATATGTTGATGGTTCCTAAAGTATTCGTCTTAATGGTTTTCACGGGATTATGCATATAGTGTGGAGGACTAGCCGGGCTGGCTAAGTGGTAAATTTCGTCAACTTCAATGAACAGCGGATTCACTATGTCGTGATGAATTAGCTCGAAGTTTTCATGGCCTATCCAATGCTCCACGTTTCTTTTTCGACCGGTGAAAAAGTTATCGACTACTATCACTTCATGCCCCTCACTCATGAGCCGATCGACCAGGTGAGACCCCACAAATCCAGCCCCACCTGTAATCTAAATAGGGATTAACATTAACGGATTTTGGAGAATGACATCGTCTCCAACTCACTAGAATACGCTTGCGTTTCAAATAATTCAAAAAATTCACATCAGGATAGGTCTTAGGCACCCTTCCTTCAAGTGAGATAATTTTCTCTTCCAGCGCGGCTATTTTCTTATATGCCTCATTCAGCAAATAGTCGGCGTGGTCCAAATCTTCAGGAAATTTCCAGTGACTCGTCTCGGCTTGGTCACCATCATTTCTACCGGAATTATTCAGAGTTTGGAGGAATAAAACAATAAGAAAAACTGAAAAAAAAAACGTTGTTTGAAAACATGTTGACGGATAATGGAGATAATTCAACTTACCCGATAATGATACGCCAGCTATTGCAATATGTTTAAATTTGATGGTGATTTGGGTCATTGCTACACATTTTTTATAATAAATTGTTCATTTTTAATCCTGGAAGATTATCAAAATAAATATTCACATAACCTCAAACCTCAAATCCCGAATCTATTGACTTCAAAAACCATCTGGTTCACACGGGGCCACCTAGAGTCCATCCTTTCCAATAATATTACTATGATGCTGAAATATTTTAGAAGTAATTTAAAAAATCCTGATACAATTGATTGGGAGATAACATACAAACAATTAGGTATAATTAAGCATAATAGTATTTTTCCCCTATGAAATACTGAAAAATCAAATTTACAGCTCTTAAAACCCAAATATCTCTTCCATTTTCTTCTTCTATGGATTGACGGTTGAACTGACACTGGTTAAATGAAAACCACAGAACATCAAAACATTAAAAACGTCACAAACATCTGACAATTAAAAACAACTCATTGTTAAAAATAGTGTTTAATACACAATTAAATCTACTGTAAAACTTGTTGTTTCTTGTTTAAGTCAGTTTGTTTAAAATATGTCGTTTTCACCAGTTCCTCCCGAGATAAAACCTGTCGCTCATCTTATGAAGCTGGCCGCAGAGCATGATACCAGAAATGTTGTGGTAGCTTACTGGGGTATGAACTGAATGTTAATCTAATATCTATATTAATTGCTCGGGAAAACACCCATTCCCAGTTCTCATTGCATAAACTGCAAATTTCCAGTTTTCGCTTTTTTAATCTCAAATAGAGCATTTATTACTATTATAATACTTGTTCTGCAGCGCGAATGGCCGCATGTCGACTGGCGCTTAAAATGGTCCCAGGACCCAAATCTCCACAATTCTCCGCTTTTTTGGGCGAAATCCTCGATTGGTTGGAGCAAACGAAGCAGCAAAATCGCGATAATGATGGAATTACAAGCGAAACCGCTGCACAGGCCATCATCGAAGAATACGCATTGAATGTGTTTAATCACGCTGAGCAACAGGATGCAGCCGAAATTTTTAATAAGTAAGTCACAATTAAGTTTCTATTGTTGAATGTATGAGTTATTTGGGCTTTTAGTCTTATTTGAATCGCTGTCGAAAGGCATTTTAACTGGTTGTAGGCACTAAAAACGCATACTCGGTTAAGCAAATGCTTTCTACAATTACGTTGTTTTAAGGCGATTTTTAATTGCAGAATGTCTTTGAGACTGGCTTATAATATGATCCACTATCCATTTAGAACATTGTCCAGAATGCTTACCAGGAGAGCTCGATTGAAGTAAATTGTTTGTTCAACTTCCATACATTTGCGTAACTGCAACTTTCACATTCAAATGTGATTTGTGGATGTTCTTGAATTTGCTCAATTTAAACAAGAGGATATGAATTTAGCGCGGAATATGTGTTGTATTGAATTTTGCCTTAAAGTCCTACGAAAGCCATAAAACTGATCAATATATGTAGAAATATCTGCTGTCTTAAAAGTTAATAAAATGTGAAACCTGCAGTCCTACATTTGTAATCTACATTGATTTAAATTAAATATTATAATTTAATTTTATTGTTTCAGAAATACAGTAAAATCTTTCTACACTGCTAGTATGCTGTTTGATGTTTTGGAGCAGTTCGGCTTCTCTGAAGGGAACCACGAGAAACAGAAATATGGCAAATGGAAAGCTGCGTACATTCATAATTGCCTGAAAAATGGCGAGAAACCTCAACCAGGTCCTCCCAACTCTGGCGCTGAAGAGAACCAAATGGTCCATATTAGTGAATTGCCCGAAGAAGAACAGCAAAGGTAAACATTTTACAATGCGTTAACTTAGTTGGCTGAAAAATGCGTGTTTTGCAGGCTTTTAGAAGAGAAACGTAGACTGCAGGAAGAGCTGGATAGGAAAAAGCGTCAAGAAGACGAAGAACGAGAGCAGCTGAATCGGTTAAATAGTTTTGGCAATATCACTTTAGGCGATAACGATCCAGCAAACCCAAGCAATGTTACCGGATATCCGCCGCTCCCGAACCAAAACAACTCGAATGCTGGATTTACATTCCCAAAACTTTCACCAGTAAGTGTTTAATAGGATTTGCTCTATCGTAGAAATGAGTCACGGAAATTAGGTCTTTAGTCAGTTGAAAAGCTAAATGGGTGTGATTTTTTTGTGTAGGAAAGCCCAAACATTCCACAACAACCCGGTTCGGTCACACCAGTTGCGCCAACAACTCCCCAAGTTCCTGTCCAGCCCACCACATACAATTTGCCCACCACTACGAATTATGGCACTCCAGGCGGTAGCCAGGTGTCTCTAACTGCTGATCAGATTCAGAAAGCCCAAAAGTACAGCAAATATGCCACCAGTGCCTTGAACTACGACGATGTGAAAACGGCAGTAGAAAATTTACAGAAAGCTTTGAATTTGTTGCAGTTTGGAAAGGAATAACCGGTATGAATATTTATTTCCAATTGATGCTCCCTAAATGGATTTAGTGTTATTTTGGCAATGAGTACAAATTTATAGGCATTTTCCTGCTACTTGCAGTCGGATGCAGTGACAAAAATTGTTTCACTGTTTAGTTTTTCAATTATTCACAGCGATTTTGTTGTCGAAAATCGGCTGATCCGTATGAAAATATGCACTTTTATTGTTAAATATATTATTAAATATATACTTACCTTAGCTTACCCCAAAGTTGCTGTTAAAAGTCAATTACTGTGAGATTAATTGGCTGACATTTATTAAAAAGGCTTATGTCCGAAAGTTATTTTCCTTTCCTCTCTTGAAGTAGATACTATAACAGTCTCCCGCGGTTAATCCAGTCTAGGAGTAGTAGACTTAAGAACTGGACTCTTTCTGCCACAAACACTGCACTGTTTTAGGTTTTAGCGCCCGATTTTCTTTAGATAATTCTTGCGGTTTGAGACCTAAGAAAGAAATTTTTAACACCGTTTGTTTGGCAAATTCAAAATTCGTCGACCGTCTATTTGTGTTAAATTTTTGAATGCGGCCTTGTTCGCCTAATAAGGCGAATTATGTTCACAAACTACTGAGTCTCGCCCGTATAATGCATATGTAGAGTAGGTAATCCAGCTGATAGATCCGGGCAAAGAGAAGTTTTTTAATAGGAATATCTGGTGTAGCGGCAATAATGTTAGTTACTTATACAAACAATATATTTTTTCCTCAACTTACACTAAATATTAATAGGTATCTACAACACACTTAACGAACTATATTGCACTTAGTAGATAAAGGATGGTACGGTTTCTAAGGCCAGGACTTCATCAGAACGTAATCCCCATATTGTGTGCACTTCTTAGTTATGAATTCTAATAAAGCTTCGTCTAACACACTTGACTAGCAAATATATTTTAGTAACTATTTACTGATGATGTTCCTTACCTATTTTCCTGTACCAATCCCTTCCAAAGTGATGTCTGATGTAAGTAAGGTGAACTAACAAGTTCAAATAAATGCCTTCAATTTTTACGAACTGGTATTGTCTGAAGTACCCAGTGCTAAAGTTGTTAAAGTGCTTCTTCTTCCCGGAGTCACGCCCAAATTTTCCCAATTGATCCAAGACAATCTTGCTGTTAAATCTAGAAGTGAAAAATTAATTCCCGTTGTTATGTTTTCCCTAGATTTTCAAGTAAGCAAATGAATCTGAGCAAACTGAAACTCTCAGAAAATAATCAGTCTATAATAGATTATTGTGTATTCTTACCACTTGTGTTCCAGTTGGCTCTGTCTGCTTTAATTTCTCCTCGCAAACATTTTTCAACATAGGTGAGAGGGTCGCAATCGGCGGTTAAAACTTCCCTTAGCAAAGCTATGTAAGCTATGGCCAGTCTCAGTGTGTCAATTTTAGACAATCTTTTCTCATATGGAAATGTGGGGACGTGCATCCTCAATTCGTCGAAAGCGGAGTTTATACTGCTGCAAACCCCAAGAAGATTAGCATCTGGCAGCAGATCAATAAATTAGTTTTAAATATCTGCAAGAATCTGAAATTTTGCTGTATAATTAAAACCATCTTAGATACTCCTATAGTTAATAACAATAAAATCCAAGCAACATTTTTATTGGTCACAGTCACACAGCAAGCAATGAAATATTTTGCGACACTTTGCCCTGATACCTATTTGCTAGAAAAGGCAATAATCTAGGCGTTTTACGCAACAGAACTCTAATCGCTCATGCATCTGGTAGAAAGAAAAATCGTCAGCGAATAAAAAACACTTACAAAATGAAACGAAAATGGCAAACAAAAAAGACAAATCGAGCAAGACGAAGAGTACCCGGTGGGTCCAATAGCAGACCTCAGCATCCGTTTTCTCTCTCTGATATTGGCCGCATGTCGTTGCACTCGGTACGGGGACGAGCCGTAAAACTCTGAGGAACTCAGATTGGCACCAGAAGAACCACAAGGCCCCGTATCTACAAAAAAATAGTTAAAAAGTATGAAAAAAGTGTAGTTTTCTTTATAAGTGAAATGCGATCTGATACAGTGCATGGAAAATACAG